CCGAATGAGGGAGTGTTAAAGACGTATATGGTGCAGCGAAATCGCCAAATAAGGGGTGTGCTTCATATATACATATATATATATATATATGGTGAACCGGAATCGCCAAATGAGCGGGGTTGTTTAACACGTATCATGAACCGTTATCGCCAAATGAGGGGGTGCGTTTATCATGTAGGTTGAACCGTTATCGCCAATTAAGGGTGGTGTGTTTAAGCTATAGGCTGACCCGGAGTTACCAAACAAGGGGGGGTGCTTACCGCTTGCAAGTGCGTTTGCAAATGGCTGGGGCTGCGCCCCCCCCCCCAACCCCGCCGCTTTCTTCAGCCCCGAAATGGGGGGGGCTGCGCCGCCCCCCAGACCCCCCCCCCGCTTTCTCAAGCCCTGTTTTTCTTTAGCGAACTTCGTACCATCAAGAACGCTACGGCCATTTGCGATGGTCGCAGCAAGTCAAGCGTCTGAATATTCTGAGACTTTTCAAATCCCGTCCCAGGGGCCCAACCCCCCTCGCTTTATGTTTGGGCCACGCAAGCTAAGATATATGGTGAACGGTTTTCGCCGAATGAGGGAGTGTTAAAGACGTATATGGTCAAGCGAAATCGCCAAATAAGGGGTGTGCTTCATATACATTATACATATATATATATATATATGGTGAACCGGAATCGCCAAATGAGCGGGGTTGTTTAACACGTATCATGAACCGTTATCGCCAAATGAGGGGGTGCGTGTATCATGTAGGTTGAACCGTATCGCCAATTAAGGGTGGTGTATTTAAAGCTATAGGCTGACCCGGAGTTACCAAATAAGGGGGGGTGCTTACCGCTTGCAAGTGCGTTTGCAAATGGGGGGGGGGCTGCGCCCCCTCCAAGCCCCTCGCTTTCTTCAGCCCCGTAGTGAACTTGCTTCAGCGAACGTCGTGCCGTCAAGAACGCTTTCTGGCCATCATTGGCGATTGGTCGTAGCAAGTCAAGCGCCTAACATATATCAGCCGTTTCACAGCCCGTCCTAGGGGCCCAACCCCCTCCCCCCTGCTTTATGTTTGGGCCGCGGTGAATCGTTTTCGCCGAATGAGGGGGTCTTGTTATCGCCGAATGCGGGCGCGTGTTAAAGATATCTGGTGAACCGGAATCGCCGAATGAGGGAGCGTGTTGAAGATCTGATGAGCCGTCATCACCAAAAGAGGGGCCGTGTTTAAGATATATGGTGAACGGTCATCGCCGACTGAAGGGCGTATTAAAGATATATGGTGAACCGGAAAGGGGTGTGTCTAAGATTTTTTGCATAATCTATGGTGAACCGGAATCGACAAATGAGGGCGCTTGCTTAAGATGTGATGAACCGCCGGTCCTCTTGCAAGTGCGTTTGCAAATGGGAGGGGCTGCGCCGCCCCCCAGACCCCTCCCCCCCCCGCCCCGTTTTCTCAAGCTCTGTGTTTTTTTAGCGAACTTCGTATCATCAAGAACGCTATGGCCGTTTGCGATGGTTGCAGCAAAGCAAGCGCATAACTATTCTGAGACTTTTCAATTCCCGTCCCAGGGGCCCAACCCCCTCGCTTTATGTTTGGGCCACGCAAGCTAAGATATATGGTGAACGGTTTTCGCCGAATGAGGGAGTGTTAGAGACGTATATGGTGCAGCGAAATCGCCAAATAAGGGGTGTGCTTCATATATATATATATATATATATATATGCTACCCCCCCCTCAAGGATCTACCTTTTTCGTGTGTTTGAGAGCCGGATGGGAAATAGTTGATATTCTATATCGTATTCCCTTTTCTTTATAAATCCTTCACTAAATACGCTTCGACTCGATCAAAGATTTCGCAGATCCTAAATTCTGCGTTTCCTTCATATACACACTTAGTTTTTCCAAGCGACATACATTCGTGTACGGCCTCTTCTCGTGTTGCAACTGAACGCAAGGTTGCATGCATGTTCTGTGTGTGTATAGGTTTTTGCATGCAGCAGTATGGGCTGTGAAGGTAACACGCAACAGGAGAGCAAAGATATGTCATCCCGTATCACGACAAGTATAGATATGAAAAGAGGACCCTATTTCTACACCTCCCATATATAAGACGCATCGGGATTATAGATAATATCCGTGAACACGAAATCTATCGATATTGCCAGGGTTCAATACCTTGTATTTCAGCAATATAGTACCCTTTAACAGTATATATACCGTGAACACATATAACACCGCACGCATTATATTACACATCCCTATAGGACACTCTATGCAAGACACTATATAGAATATCTTGCAGGATGTCCTTTTAGAATACTTTCTCTATGTATCTCAAAACTTTTCAGATGGAATGCACTGATATAGAATACCCTCATGCCTTATTGAATACCCTTGAGCCTCTAGAATACCTTATCATATACTTTCAGTCACAGCCTGTATATCTCTTGAATATCTAGAATACCTTACAAAATACGACATAGAATACCCTACAGAATACCTCATGGAACACATCGTACCCTCTATATATCGTGCGCCTCATGGAAGACCGTCTGGAATACTCTATAGAAGACCTTACAGGATGCCCATATGGCCCTATACATGACAGTCGTTGTATACAGTATATATACCATGAACCCATATAACATCTAGTGGCTCAAAACCAAACTTTTCAACTATTGGCCCCTAATAAGGTAATCTTGTTGCGAAAGTTTAAACTTCTTACACCCCCATAGGGATATGGGAAGTAAGAGTACCTATAGATAACCTTTCAACGAGCCCAAGATCTGAGAACCCCTCATAAAGAAGCAGCCTATTGGGTAAGGGATTTCTAGGAGTGATCCAGGAGTCGAGGAGAATAACCTAAAGAATACCACAAACCCCAAAGAATTTCGTACAGGTGACCCTAGGTAATACGTTATAGAATATCCCCTATATACCTCATAGATACCTTCTTGAGTACCCTTTAGCCGTATAGCCTTTTTCATTACGTTTTTGAACACGTTCTGTAAGATAATCTTTACGTTCATGTTGATGCCTTGTACAATCCCCTATACAATGCGTTATGGAGTACCCGATAGATAGCCCAAAACAACGTTACATACTTGGCCTTTCATAGGCCTTGTACGATATCATCTGCAATCCCCTACCGACTACCTTACAGAATACACAATATCTATGATACCCTCTGAGTACCCCATAGGAAGTCCTAACGAAACCTAACGGATATTCTATAACATACCCGTAGAATGCACCATCGAATGCCTTGTAGAATACTTTATAGATAACGGATTAATGGCAGGATAATCAGGAGCAGAATGCTCTGCGCTGTACCTAAGAAATCAAAAACAAGAGCATATAGAACACCTTACACGATACTCCTTCTTTACATCTTAAAAATTTCGTATAGATACCCATAGATTATAGAAACCTTTTATACCTTTATGAATCCTGTTGAATACCCGTTGGTTTTCCACCAATATTCACAGACCAAAAAATGAACGCTCTCCATCATTTTGAAAAACCGCTCACCAACACGCAGCACTCGAGATCCTGGTAAACACGTTCGGCACATAAAATTCAAATTCCTCAACCCTGAACCTGAAACCCTGCCCACTTGGGACGAAGCGGGATTGCAGTCAAGCGGCCCTGATTCAACTCAATCGGCCCCGATTGAACTCAATCGGGGGCCGGATTGAAGATTCCCCGGCAAAGTTTTTGAGGGAATCTTCAATCTTCAATCCGGCGCCCGATTCAATTCAATCGGCCCCGATTGAACTCAATCGGGGGCCGGATTGAAGATTGAAGATTCCCCGGCAAAGTTTTCGAGGGAATCTTCAATCTTCAATCCGGCGCGCGATTCAACTCAATCGGCCCCGATTGAACTCAATCGGGGCGGGGGGGGGATTGAGTTCAATCGGCCAGATTGAACTCAGTCGGGCCAGTGTGGAGTTCACCCAACCACCAAACGGTCCATCGGGTAGGCCCTCCCCTCAAGGATCTTCCATTTTCGTGTGATGTGGCTCTCAAACACACGAAAAAGGTAGATCCATGGGGGGGGGGGGTAGCATATATATATATATATATATGGATGGGGAACCGGAATCGCCAAATGAGCGGGGTTGTTTAACACGTATCATGAACCGTTATCGCCAAATGAGGGGGCGCGTTTATCATGTATGTTGAACCGTTATCGCCAATTGAGGGTGGTGTGTTTAAGCTATAGGCTGACCCGGAGTTACCAAATATGGGGGGGTGCTTACCGCTTGCAAGTGCGTGTGCACATGGTTCCCGATGAGAACGTGCGTGGATGCCGGTAAGTTGCTGCGAAGCTGCCAAAAAAAGCAGACGTGCGCGAATGTGAGGCCGTGCACAGGGTGTCTCATGAGCGCCGTGCACTATGTTGCATGTACATATGGCCCATCCTTGTAACGCGTACAGGTTCTATAGAAGCTAAGCCCGAAAACCATAAAAATTACGAAAAAAAAAAAGATCCAAAGCCAGGCCCTTTCTTGTGACTCTTGCATGTTTTTTAGCATTCCAGCCCCGTAAACCATAAAAAATAACCAAAAAATCCATAAAAAAGCACCAAAAAAAACCTGGACCCAGGCGGCGTGACCCAGATCTTTATGATGTCGGTACTTTTCAATCCTATGGTGGCATCCGGGATGGAGCCAAATGTCGCCTGGCGTGTCTCCATGGTGGTGCCGGCGGTCATGTTCGTGATTTGCGCCATTTGCATGAAGCTCATGTGTTGGGATATGCCTACGGCTCGCAAATACGATCCCACCGTGACCGGCAAGACACAAAAGCCTTCAATGTGGGACTATGTCGAGGTGCTGCGTGACGTTCGCGTCGTCGTCATGATCTTCCAATATTCAGCATGTTTCGGCACAGAACTCGCAATGAACAATCAGTTGGCTACGCATTTTCGGACCTACTTCCAGATGGATGCAGGTGATGCCAGCGCCCTGGCGGGTGCTTTCGGCCTCATGAATCTTTTCGCAAGATCTCTTGGTGGCATCAGCAGCGATATTTGCTACAAGTACTTCGGCTTCCGCGGCCGCATTTGGGCTCAGTTCCTGGCACTTTTTTTCGAAGCTATCTTTCTATTCAGCTTCGGACAAGTGGACAATTCGCAGCCCTGGTACGTGGCCTTGGCAGTCTTGGTTTGCTTCTCGCTCTTTGTGCAGATGGCTGAGGGCACCTCCTACGGCATCGTGCCGTTCATGAACCTTCGTCATTGTTGGGTAACACTTTACAATACTTTACAGTTTTACGGATCCTTAAACATCTTAAGGAATAGAACTGTCAAGCTTCAATACAATCCCAAGCGACTAGGAACCGGAAGCAGCTCGCAGTGGTGTCCGCTCTTGTGGGTGCTGGTGGAAACCTCGGGGCAGTGATTGCAGGCTTCTGCTTTTACAAGCCGATCCAGGATGCCCTGCTGCCTTTCCAGGTCCATGCGGGCTATGTAATGTTTTGGGCTCTTCTGAGCCCTTGTTACTACTGGTCCGAGACTGGTGGGATGTTCTGCGGACCAGCACAAAGCTTCGAGAAGGGCAAGACCAATAGCAGCGAGCCAGAGCCGCACACAAAGCCCGAGGCCACCAGTGAAATCACTGTGTGAGCTTTGGCCTAGTTCTGCTGACGCTCGAGGCTGAACGGCAAATCATTCTTAATCTGATAAGGCACAATTCGACTACTCGAACCAGTTTTGTGTGGGCCGGCGGTGTTTTAGCATGGAGTGCAATGCACCGGCCAGTTCAGACAGTCCCGCCGCTGGCAACCAGCTGGGCGGGGGCCTGCCATCAAGCAAATGACTTGGTGCTGCCAGCAACATGAAAAACCTGGACCGCTACAGTTGTATTCATCATGCAAGTTATTGTCTCTTGCACTGTCTTTGCAGAGCCTGCCCTGAAGTGTGATCTTGAGTGAATGGCTTGATGTGCCACAACCCGCGTGGGTTTCTTTCGGGGTTTAGGTCGTGGGAGTTGCGTCCTTGCAAGTAGAGGCTCCCTGAGCTTGCTCCCTCAGCCTGGGGTTACTGACGCTGGAGAAGGTAAGATAAAAGGGCCCCAAAGTCGTGTTGAAGATTCCTGTCGCGCTCCAGCCCAGACGCTGCATCCTAGACCCGAAAGCCCAAAAAGCCATTAATTAGACTATATATATATATATATATCCTTGAAAGCGGAGGCGTCCAGTAAATCGTGCACATGGCGCTCCAGATCCCCCCCGCGTCAAGGGACCAGGCCTCGGCAGAGAACGGGCTTTGGCGGTTCAGGGTTTACGGTTTGGTTTAGGCCCCTCGAACCAGCACTGGACCCGTTAGTTTTTTGAAAACTTTCGGAACGTTTTTGTGCCTTCTTATTCTAGTGATGATTGAGGGAAGATGCCCTCTTTTGCGGTGTCGGGCTGCTTGGGACCAACCTCAAAAACGTAAGTGCAGATGCTCGACCTCTCAAATAGGGAATGCATCCTATTAAGAAGCCCTAAATAAACTTGAACTAAGGCGTATTAGGCTCTTTGGTAGTACAAGGGCCCACAGTTAGACAATTCTTTCGCTATTGTGCACTCCAAACATATTCGCTGCAGTCTTTTACATCTACGGCCGTTGGGTTTAGGAGTATCTTATATACGAGCTTTTCATAGAGCTTGAAAGATCAACCTCACACTACTTGTTGCACATCCGCAATCACCCAGCTTCAACGGGGCCTGTCCCACGGCGAGTCAGATGAGAGCCAGCACTCCTTCATCCGAGCACGAAGCCCCCTGATTGGATGCCTCTTCGTGGCGTTATGAGACCCTAGAATCTGAGGACAACAAGACTACCATGCTGACCATACTCGCGTCTTGGCTTTTTGTGCTTGGCAAAACAGGTGCGCCAACAAGTGCAGCAGTCGCTGCAATGCCAGATGATCAGACAGAAGGTCGTCATTGACCGGAAGGAGCTGCCGATCGCCCGGGCTTCTCACCACTTGCATGACTCCTGGGCATCTTGGTTCTTGGTTCCACGGGCCGGGCTGCATTAAAATTTTAATTTTCTAATGCAGATTTTAATGCAGCCCGGCCGGTGCCCGTGGAACCAAGATTCAGGATTCAAGACTCCTGGGGATCTTGGTTCTTGGTTCCACGGGCCGGGTTGCATTAAAATTTATTTTTTTAATGCGGGTTTTAATGCAGCCCGGCCGGTGCCCGTGGAACCAAGATTCAGGATTCAAGACTCCTGGGAATCTTGGTTCTTGGTTCCACGGGCCGGGCTGCATTAAAATTTAATTTTTAATGTGGGTTTTAATGCAGCCGGGCCTCTGGTATAGTCATGTTCGTACACATGAATCTTCGGAGACCCTATTCCATGTTGCATGTGTGTGCGTGTGTGTGTGTGTGTGTGCGTGGGTAATGAAGTGTGGTATCATATATGTAGACACGAGGGTTTGGAGGTAGGTCCTGGGGGGGGTGGGGGGTGGGGGGGTACCATATATATATATATATATATATGTATATGTATATGTATATGTATATGTATATGTATATGTATATGTATATGTATATGTATATGTATATGTATATGTAGATGTAGATGTATATGTATGTATATGTATATATATATATATATATATATTTATGCTATACTATACATACTATATTTACTGTATATACAATATATATATATATATATATATATATATATAAGATCTATCTACTTTTATGACCGTAGTTCCCAAAGCCCTGTTCTACTTCCAAAGAGCCCCTATGACAGCCCTCGGCCCTTCTGGCAGCCCAGCTCAGTGAGGCTCTGTGCCGCCGAGTCCTCTAGCCTCGACCCAAAAAGCCCAGGGTTTGAGGGTTTTTGCAACTAGGGATTAGGGAGTAGGCTTTTAGGGATTCGGGTTTTAGGGATTGTTAGGGTTTAGGGATTAGGGCTTAGGGAATAGGGTTTTAGGGTTTAGGGTTTGAGGTTTGTTATAGTGGCTTTCAGAGAAAAGTACGTTGTGGAGGCACGCGCTTTGTGGGTTTGCATATACCATTCTCCAGAAAAGTTTGGAGTTCAGGGTTTGAGGGTGTCTGGTTCAGGGTTTAGGGTTTTTAGGGTTTAGGGTTTGGGGGCCATTATACTATAATTATAATTAGGGGTTCCTCATTAATCATAAGGAACCCCTAATAGTATTGGTAAGGCCCCTATAGTAGGGTTTTTGGATCAGGATTTTTTTCGGAATGACTTGTCTTCCGGTCACCAGTTTCGCTCTCAGCCTTGGATCGATGTGGAATTCGGTTGTTCGTTCTTGGGGGCTGTCCTTGTCAAGCCGCGAAGGCTGCTTTCTCGTCTGACACCTGCGCAGCAGGAGGAGCTCCTAATACGTAGATCGGGCGTCAGAGCGTACCCAAAGAAGAGTCTGGCTGTGGCAGCAGCGTCAGAGTCATCCTGTTTCGGGTTAAGGGGGGTTGGGCTTAGGGTCTGTGGTGTTAGTGATCTCGATGCCCCCCCGCAAAATGCAACTGGCTCTGTGAGGTTCAGCTTACAGCATCAGCTATTGCTCGCATCGTCTTGTTTCTTTGTCAGGGCAGTTTCGGTGATCTTTGCATGACGTGCAGCTCTGATGAACTATCCTCCTGGAGCACAAAACACAGAGTATCATAAAGTATGTATTCATGCCATATACTATAAAAGTTGCTCATATAATGTGTCTGGCTAGCTTTTGGCTTCAGGCTCTGTGCCTGCCGGCCTCCCCCGCGAGGTCAGCAGAAGCCCACGCAAACCAAACATCTCCTTTGAGCCTGAAGCTTCGGGAAACGTCCGATGCCCCACTCAGAACCTAAAAAAGAGCGAAATCCCCAAGGCTCCTAAGCCTGAGGTGCACCCCACTCGGATCTGTGTTGGTAGTCTTTGCAACTCTCACAGATCAAGAGCTTCAGAAGCCTCATATTCTCCGAGGTTCCTCCACCCACGCCCTGTAACAAAAAACCCTTATAGGCCCCTTCAAAGGAACCCTAGTCGAATTATTCAGGCCCCTATACTAAATCCTCAAAATAGCCCTTATAGTAGCCCTTGGAGGCCCTTTCTATGGGAACCCTATTCTAATTCTATACGAGGCCCCCGGGACCGGAGCGCCCTCCGCAAAAGCCATGGGCGGCTCTTCGTCTCGGGCGCCGCCTCCCCTGGATCTGCCACAACAAGAGGCCGGAGCTGTGGCTATTGCAATTATTACTATTATGATTATGACTATTATGATTATTAGTCATGATTACATTACTGTTATTATCATTACTACTATTTTTGCTATTGCCTTGACTGCGAATACCATTGCTGTTAAAAAAGTACGATGACAACGGCTACTTTGATGCTGCCGCTGCTAAGATACTTCTTGTGATGACTCAAAATTATTCGTGCAAGTACTGTGATGGCGATTTTTTCACCATCGTTCTCGGAATCATCCTTACAATCAGTACGTATGTTTATTGCCATGATGAAGAAAAAAGAAAAGACTATGATGACCATGAAGAAGTTGTGTTAAAGGGTGGGGGGTCGGGCCCTATAGTACATTCCAGCTTATGATGGCTCGCTGTGGAAAATGCACTACTATGATTACTATGATATAGTATAGGAGAGTAGAACAGGATAGAACAGAATCCAATAGAACATACTAGATGTTAATCTGCTAGGAACCCTGAGACGTAGAGCCGACAAGCCCCGAAGCTCTTCTCCCTCGGTTTCCTGCCGCCCCGAGGTGGTGGCCATCGCTCACACTGGGAGCCTCCGGAATGACAGGCAATGGCTGAATGTGGTTAGGGGTCGTGGAGTTCATTTACAGAAAGGGCTTAGGTTTCGGAATGGCAGGGCCTCATGTGATGGGGGCAGCCCTAACCTGGTGAGGTGAGGGTGGGGATGATGTTGCGACGGTGGATTCTGACAATGATGATGTTGACTGTTGATACTCTTTCATTGTCACGGCTCCTCTTGGTGTTTTGTTGTGGTGGCGTTGAGTTGTTGTTGGGCTTTGTTGCTTGACGATGATAATTGGGACGCAAACGCAGACCCTATAGGAGCTCTCACAGTAACATGCCTTATAGTAGCAACCCTTGAGGTTCGCAACCCTAAGCCCTGAAATCCCTAAACGGAACCCGAAACCCTTTAAAGGAACGTGAAACCCTTTGCAAGAACCCTAAACTAAAACTCTATCTCTGCTCCGTTCTTCGAAGGCACGGCATGGCGGCGGTCAATGCTGCCGCGCGGGTGGCGCAGAAGTGCGAGACTGGCCAGGCGTGGGCTCTTTAGGGTTTAGGGTTTCGGGCTTTGAGGGTTTTGGGGTTTGGATTTTAGGAGTTTACGGTTTTGGGGCGTTGTGGTTTTAGGATTTTGCGTTTCGAAGGTTGAAACTCTAAAGCGCAAACTCGACACGAGTTTAGGGTTGGTTTAAGGTTTAAGGGTTCAGCACTTGTGGGACTTTGCTTTTCAGGCTTTTGGGGCTCTCCCACGACTTCTCGGGTCGGACGAGGCTATCAGAACTTACTAGCAGCTCCCGTAAACCGCGATCGTAAGCCCAAGCCGTGATAAATCTCCAAACCCTTGAGGCTTCATTGGATTCATCCGTACATGCTGAGGGAAATTGAGGGTAAGCAAAACCCTAAACC